TCCAGACTCGATTATTTACAGACCGCCGTGATATACCAGGAATATTGATGAGTGCGGCGTTATACAACAACGAAAAAGACAAAAAAACAACAACCATATACCATGTACCATATACCCGTGCTCGTGAGTTTCATCAAAGTGGTAAGACCTGCATAACTGCCACATCAAGCCAACACGCCATAGTAGAGCTGCAATACTGTTCAACAGTGCAATAACCTCACTCCGTCTTGCACTTGTGCTACTCGTGAAACTAGCTACTTTTGTTTTTGTCGGGGCTTGAGATTCACGATAGCCATGTCGTTTGACAAGATTAGTCAACAATCATAAATATATTATGTTGCAAGTTCCAGAAACCCTCTTGAAAACTAGCGTCCGCCCGGAGAGCGGAAGGTCCGGGGTTCGATCCCCAGCCGCGTCATACCAAAAGACGTTAAAAGGTGGTACTTGTTGTAACCCTGTCTTGCGCTCGGCATTAAGGGGCTAAAACAAGGACTGGTCGGCTCGGAGTCAGTATACTGTGTCTGAGTGGTTAAACTGCGGCATAGTATCTCAGTGAGCTAGCACTATAAATCGGCATCAGTCCGGACTAGTACAAGCAGCCACACACACACACACACACACACACACACACACGTGCATGCACGTCGCTATATAAGTGCAATAATCTTGGACGCGACGTTAAACCCCATTTCACCTCACCTCACCTCTTGAAAACTTGGTCACAGATCTTTCGAATCCTATGCTTCAATACTTTGGAACAATCTACCAACAGAACTTAAACTCTCACCATCACTCCCATCCTTCAAGTCACATCTAGAGACCCACCTTTTCAAGCAACACTATTCAGTCTAAATTCAACACCCCTCGCCCCCAGCCTGGACATCGTCCTTGCTGTAGCATAACCTGCTTCAACGTACGTAGCGCCATGAGCATGAACTTGGTAAAACTGACTGCATTACATTTGAACTTCTGAATATGCGTGATTTTTTTTATCAAACTAGGTCAATGTTATGAATACGTTTCATAAATCAGAAATCATCTAACCATTACATTAATGACATTGAATGACATTTAGAAGTGATACATTTAGTGAGAATTTAAGGATGTCAATTTATTACTATGATGAACATTTTCGGATTATATGAGTGAGTGAGTGAGTTGGGTTTAACGCCGCTTTTAACAGTTTTCCAGTTATATCGCGGGGTGTCAGCTTAATGTGGGAGGAAAGCCCGAAGTGATGCAGGTCTCAGACGTTTACCACTTCGGTGAAACCCACGAGAACGGATATGGTGATAGGTGACTAGCAACGGAGAAATGGAAGCCAACTCAACTGGAGTGAGTGAGTGAGTTGTGTTTAACGCCGCTTTTAACAGTATTCCAGTAATATCGCGGTGTGTCAGCTTAATGTGGGAGGAAAGCCCGAAGTGATGCAGGTCTCAGACGTTTACCACTTCGGTGAAACCCACGAGCACGGGTATGGTGCTGACAAACCTAGAAACATAATCGGAGCGAACCGGGATTCGAACCCACAATCATAGGTTTCTGGCGTGCCCAGGGGACGTAACTCTGCACAGCGAATCGCGGCGCCTTAGATGATTGGGCCACCCGTGCCCCCTAACTCAACTGGAGTGAGTGAGTGAGTGAGTTAAAATTTTAAGTCACATCGGCAATATTTCAGCCATATCGTGACTATCAATAGTTAAATAGAATACATATATTGAAACGATTGTAAAAACCTGCCAACGAGGGACAGTAAAACAACTAGACTTATCACAGCAATAAATTTAAAACTAGTATGTAATAATAAAATCAATAGCACTATACATAACAATACATTATAAAAACGGGCTATAGATCGCCAACAACTGAAGGTAGATCACCATGCTAGGGTCCATGGGGACTTACAGTACTTTTGCTACCTGCATGGACCCCAGCCGGATTTACATCATCCCTTCAGGTGTTGGCAATTATTGACAAATTTAGCCAAATTAAAAGAACACATATTCTACGATTAAAACTGTAGTTGGAAAAACATACTTTGAATGATATGGACTTACGATACCCTCTCAGGGGGACAATGATTTTACACTACTTTAACCCCCTTTGAGGATACAGCCACGATCAATCACAGAGATTTATTTATTCCACTAATGCTAAAATTCATTTAATATATACAAAGCTAATTAACAAAATTTACTGAACAACTCTATTTCTTTTAAAAAGCCAATAATTAAATGAGAATTAATAGTGTTAAAAAGATCCTTCATAGAATTAACCTTGAAATAGTTATCCCTTGTGATGGAAAAATCAACACAGTCAAGCAGGACATGCTTTACCGTGATTTTTTCACCACAAGGGATGCAAAACGGAGGATCCTCACCTTTCAATAGCTATTCATTGGTGTAACGCGAATGGCCAATACGACATCGTCGTAAAATGACCTCTTCAAATCTGGACTGACAACCCAAGTAGGTGTAACCGATATTTGGTTTAATGTCATGTAATTTATTGATACCTACTTGGGTGTCCCACTTCTGTTGCATCAGATCTCGTATATATGATTCAATCACAGGCCTGTAATCAGTGTATGGAACAAGAAGTGGTGTCACAGATTTGTTGAGTGCAGCTTTAGCAGCAGCGTCGGCCATTGTGTTACCTTTGATGCCAACATGGCTTGGTAACCAGGAAAAAACGATGTCGCATTGGCCAGTGGCAAGTTCATTATATAATTCAAGTATTTCGATTAAAAGTGGATGTTTTGTAGATTGATTTGTAATTGCCTGAAGACAGGAAAGAGAGTCGGAAAATATAATAAATTGTTTATGCTTTGATTGTTTACGAATGTATTTTAGTGCTGTTAATATGGCGTTTGACTCGGCTGTAAAAATGGAACAGTTATCTGGTATTCTAGATGATATTGTCCTGGATCCAATGATGGTGGCGCTGGAAACTGCGTCACCATCCTTTGATCCGTCGGTAAATATAGATTGATAAGTATTATATTTGTTTCTTAACTGATTATACTCTTGTTGAAAAATTAGTTGATTGGTTTCAGATTTTTTAAATTTAGTTAAGGTTAGATCCACCTCTGGTTTCACTAACTGCCATGGAGGGGAAGTCAAAAGTTGGGTGGGGGCTTTATTTTCGAGATTTATTTGAGCAGCCAAAATAGACGATTGTATTCTTAGTCCAAGGGGTGGAGTGAGTGATGATTTTTTATTATATAGGTCTTCATAAAGAGGGTTAAAAACACAGTCATAGGCTGGATTGGAATTCAAAAAACGTAATTTAGAAACGTATTGTAAAGATAATTTAATGCGACGTTGTTTAAGTGAAGGCTCATCAGCCTCCACATACAAACTATGAATTGGAGAAGTTCGAAAGGCTCCAAGGCAAATCCTCAGGCCCTGATGATGAACAGAATCCAGTTTTTTCAAATTGCTTTTACATGCTCCACCATAGACGATGGAGCCGTAATCAAGTTTAGAGCGGATGAGGGCTCTGTACAATTGGAGGAGGGTTTTCTGATCCCCTCCCCATTTTGCGTTTGAAATTACTTTTATGATATCAAGAGCCTTCAGGCATTTAGTTTTTAAATAATTTATATGTGGCAGAAACGTCAAGTGATGGTCAAAAATAAGACCAAGAAACTTGGCCTCTTTGACAACTTTGATAGGAGCACCATCCAAAACTAAATCAGGGTCCTTATGTGGCTTATACTTTCTGCAAAAATGAATGCAGTTGGTCTTGGCTTTTGAAAATTTAAAGCCATTTTCCAGACACCATTTATTGATTTTGTTTAAACACAATTGAAGTTGTCTTTCAATGGTATGGATGTTTTTACCACGACAAGAAACATTAAAATCATCCACAAATAATGATCCATCAAGTGAATCGTTTAAAACCTTCGACAAACTGTTTATCTTTATGCTGAACAATGTTACAGACAAGATACTGCCTTGTGGGACACCCTGATCCTGATTGTAATGGTCAGACAGGGTTGAACCCACACGAACTTGAAATTGTCTATTTTTTAAAAACTGAGATATAAATAGAGGCAAACGGCCCCTTAAACCAAAATCATGTAGATCTTTTAAAATACCATACTTCCATGTAGTATCATACGCTTTTTCGAGATCGAAAAATATTGATACAGCATGTTGTTTATTTATTATGGAATTTTTAATAAAAGATTCTAAACGGACTAAGTGTTCGACAGTACTACGATTTTTGCGGAAACCACATTGAATGTTAGTAATGAGATTGTTGGTTTCCAAGTACCAAACTAAACGATTATTTATCATACGTTCCATAGTCTTACAAACACAGCTAGTGAGGGATATTGGTCTATAATTCGAGGGATCAGTATGATCACGACCAGGCTTAGGTATAGGAATGACAGTAGCATTTCGCCATGATGATGGAAAATTTCCAGAAGTCCAAATATTGTCAAAGATATTTAGCATAGTTTCTAAACACGATTCAGGTAAATGTTTAAGGAGCTGATAATGAATATTATCAGGCCCCGAAGCAGTATCGTGAGCTTGCCCAAGGGCGGTTTGGAGCTCATGAATGGAAAATACTTCATTATAATCCTCACCGTTATCTGCCAACTCAACTGGAAGCTGACGTATGAATTCTCTTCCTTAATATATCAATGAATCCGAAGTTCATCCGTCATAAAAAGCGAAGAACTATGTCACTCTGTTTCGAAATGCCACCAAGAGCTTTTTTCTTCAGCAAATATGTTCCATGTGTAGTAGTTTTTATCATAACCAGTTTTAAAGATAGAAAAGCTGTCACAGCTCATATGAACATTGATACTGTTGCACTAACAAATAGGGGTAACAAATAGTTATGTATCCTAGCATCACGTATCAGCTCATCCACGATAATTAACTCTAAAAGGCTTGAGATATAAAGATCTATGTAACATTGAGGATTAAGGGCTTCTGATAACATATCAGCGTCAATAGGATTGTCACACAACACCACTCGTCTTACTTTCGTGCCACGGTACCGTCTCGCTGTAGCGCAGGTGTAGTTCCAGTGTTAGACATTGCCTTAATGCATGAGAACATCTCCCTCGCCTCGGTTCTCACGTTGTCACCGGTGATGACGTAAAGGTAGAAGTTAATGGCGAAGTTGAGATCCCAAAGGAAGGCGGCAGGATCCACAGCTACACGGAGAAAACCCCAATCAGACCGGAGGGCGAGCAACAACGCCATCAGCGCGTTCGGCAAAACAAGAATGAAGAAGGTCAAGGACACCGTCACCAACATGGTAGTTACCCGGCTGACTTTGTCTTCGCGGTTTCCGGTTCCGGTTATTGCTTTGTTTTGACGTTTTAGTTGTATTATTATGACAGCATTTCCAAAGAGGATGAGAGCTAGGGGGAGCATGGTTACGAACGTCGTGGCCATGACGTAATGGATCATCATGTCTGGAATGTAGCGCATGACGCAACCAAGGTTTGGTAGGTACTTCGTGTTGAAGGGAATGTAGGACATCAACAGGAGGGGGAACAGGATGAGCAGGACGACGACCCTGCGGGAGATAAATGGCTTGCACAACTTGGTACCAGTCAAAGGAAAGATCACTATAATTACCCGCTCGTATGTGATGCAGACGACAGCCCAGGAGCAGACGACAGTGTTGACGGTGATGAAATATTCACTGATGATGCAGGCGGGGAGGTTTGTGAAAGTGATGAGCACAGGCGACCCTTGAAACTCCAGAAATAAGTTGACCCAGAAGAGTAACCGGACGAGGAGAGATATGGTATCACAGACTCCCAACAGCAACAGGTAGGAGCTGAAAGAATGGCGTCTCATCGCCGGCCGGGACATGACCAATATAGCCAGAATGTTTCCAACAATTCCAAGGAGCATGACAGGTGGTAGGCCGACAAGACGAATCCAGACACCAGCTGACGTAGATTGTTGAGATGTTGGTCTTTCTACAAAACTGGACCAATAATTCGCCAACCATATGACACCGGTTCCGTTATCGTCGTTGGTCCCATTAGTCACGAATAAGGCAGTCATCTCGGATACATTTGCCACCCCCAATGGCGAAGATGTTGTTGAAGGGACGGAGGCGTTCACATATTCTGTCATGTTCACTGTCGTGTTCACTGCCATGTTCGCTGTCATGTATTCTTGACGCCCTCCTTTACCCGCAGGCGAATCTTCAAGTCACCGTCAGTACCTACGATGGCCACAGATCCACTGGTCAATTGATGCTCCCTTCAGCTCTCTCAGTGCCTTATCTAAACACTGCACACTTCACGGGTAGCATAGCATGACATGTATATGGACAATCTTTAATGTACCGTCACGTTCTTTGTTGTCGGTCTGAGATTCCTAAGTCAAATAGAAAGCGGTAGGCGTTCCGAGGTACTGTAGCTCACCTGATCAGCAATATGAACAAATTCCGTAGCGTTTGTGGAAATATTCAGGCAAGTCAATACTTTAAAAAAAAATGTGTTTATGTTTTTTACAGTAAACTACGGTTATAACGAACTAAAATAGACCACTAATTTTAGTTCATTATAAACGTAGTTCCTTATAGGCACATATACACCCTACATACAGAAAATCGACGGGACCCAAAAAAGTTCGTTATGTCCGTCAGTTCGGTATAAGCGTGTTCGTTATAAAAAAAGTTATTGGTCTGTCGCGTGGCTAACCTGATGATGACCGACTAATGTGACCTCTTGGCCAAGGTGAGCTAACCAAATGGACATTCACTTCTTCATTTAACCTCATTATAGAAAGCCACTTATGTCTCGTTAATGAATGGACTACAATATCGGACCCGCCGTGATATTGCTGGAATATTGCTAAAAGCGGCGTAAAACCATACTCACTCACTACAATATCGGAAAGTACTAATGAAGGAAATCATTTGCGAATATAATGTATTAATAACCATAAACTGTTTATAATCGTTTTCTTTTTTCACATATAAATTATATTCCGCCTTTACACACTATCGATGCTCATCAATGCACTGTTCCAGCAAGTGTATATGTAGCGAATGACAAGGTTATCAACTGACAATTTACAAGCCATTTTTCTGCGTAAATCGTTACGAGACAAAGTCTACAAATTTGATTGTTATAAAGTTCCAATAAAACAAACAATCCTGCTTAATAAAAACTGTACGTCAGTAAATACATAAATACGTAAAAGTGAGACAATTAAAAAATCCTTTCATCTCTTCTGTTTGCAATCCGAAACGTTGACATTCAACGTAACAAATAAAACTTTCGAGTCAACTGAACTATTTTTGTGGAAAAAAATCGCTATTAAATCGATTTTTAGTGGAATGCGGGACGGTGTGCTACTGGGATTTATCGATGTTTCTTCAACATGCATGACACCCTGTTGTATACGTCAACGCTGTTCTACGTGCAAGAAACCCGTCTGTATACGTCAACGCCGTTCTACCTGCAAGACGCGCGGCTGTATAGGTCAACGCTGTTCTACAAGCAAGACACCCTTCTGTATACGTACACGCTGTTCTACATGCAAGATGCCCGGCTGTATAGGTCAACGCTGTTCTACATGCAAGACACTCTTCTGTATACGTCAACGCAGTTCTACAAGCAAGACACCAGTCTGTGCGTACGTCAACGCCGTTCTACATGCAAGACACCATTCTGTATACGAACACGCTGTTCTACATGCAAGACACACTGCAGTATACGTCAACGCCGTTCTACAAGCAAGACACCCTTCTGTATACGTACACGCTGTTCTACATGCAAGACACTCTTCTGTATACGTCAACGTAGTTCTACATGCAAGACACCAGTCTGTATGTACGTCAACGCCGTTCTACGTGCAAGACACCCTTCTGTATACGTACACGCAGTTCTACAAGCAAGACACTAGTCTGTATAGGTCAACGCTGTTCTACAAGCAAGACACCAGTCTGTATGTACGTCAACGCAGTTCTACAAGCAAGACACCCGGCTGTATACGTCAACACTGTTCTACAAGCAAGACACTAGTCTGCATGTACGTCAACGCAGTTCTACAAGCAAGACACCAGTCTGTATGTACGTCAACGCTGTTCTACAAGCAAGACACCCGGCTGTATACGTCAACACTGTTCTACAAGCAAGACACTAGTCTGTTTGTACGTCAACGCAGTTCTACAAGCAAGACACCCGGCTGTATAGGTCAACGCTGTTCTACAAGCAAGACACTAGTCTGTATGTACGTCAACGCAGTTCTACAAGCAAGACACCCGGCTGTATACGTCAACCCTGTTCTACAAGCAAGACACTAGTCTGTATGTACGTCAACGCAGTTCTACAAGCAAGACACCAGTCTGTATGTACGTCAACGCTGTTCTACAAGCAAGACACCCGGCTGTATACGTCAACACTGTTCTACAAGCAAGACACTAGTCTGTATGTACGTCAACGCAGTTCTCCAAGCAAGACACCCGGCTGTACACGTCAACACTGTTCTACAAGCAAGACACTAGTCTGTATGTACGTCAACGTTGTTCTACATGCAAGACGCCCTTCTGTATAGGTCAACGCTGTTCTACAAGAAAGACACCAGTCTGTATGTACGTCAACGCAGTTCTACAAGCAAGACACCCGGCTGTATACGTCAACACTGTTCTACAAGCAAGACACTAGTCTGTATGTACGTCAACGCAGTTCTACAAGCAAGACACCCGGCTGTATACGTCAACGCTGTTCTACAAGCAAGACACTAGTCTGTATGTACGTCAACGCAGTTCTACAAGCAAGACACCAGTCTGTATGTACGTCAACGCTGTTCTACAAGCAAGACACCACTCTGTATGTACGTCAACGTTGTTCTACATGCAAGACGCCCTTCTGTATACGTCAACGCTGTTCTACAAGCAAGACACCCGGCTGTATACGTCAACACTGTTCTACAAGCAAGACACTAGTCTGTTTGTACGTCAACGCAGTTCTACAAGCAAGACACCCGGCTGTATAGGTCAACGCTGTTCTACAAACAAGACACTAGTCTGTATGTACGTCAACGTTGTTCTACATGCAAGACGCCCTTCTGTATAGGTCAACGCTGTACTACAAGAAAGACACCAGGCTGTATAGGTCAACACTGTTCTATAAGCAAATCACCTTCTGTATAGGTCAACGCTGTTCAACAAGCAAGACACCCTTCTGTATACGTACACGGTTTCCTACATACAAGACACCCTGCTGTATACGTAAAAGCTATTCTACAAGCAAGACCACTGCTGTATACGTACACGCTGTTCTACAAGCAAGACACCCGACTGTATAGGTACACCCTGTTCTACATGCAAGACACCCGACTGTATACGTACACCCTGTTCTATATGCAAGCGACCTTCTGTATACGAACACGCTGTCCTACAAGCAAGATACCCTTCTGTATACGTACACGGTGTCCTACATGTAAGATACACTGGTGTATACTTCGTCAACGAAGTTCTACATGCAAGACACCCGGCAGTATACGTCAACGCTGTTCTACAAGCAAGACACCCTGCTGTATACGTCAACTTTGTTCTACATGCAAGAGACCAGTCGACATGTGTGACAAGTCCATATGCAGAGTTACCTACCCCTCACCTGTCAGGACGGAATCTAACCTTCACTCTGTTTCTGAGTGACCCTACCTGTCGAAAACACACACAAAGCAAGGACCGAGCCTACTACCATTACCCTTGCCAAAGGCGTCACAGTGCTTTTGTCGTCACAATCCAAATAATTTTTTAATTTGAAGTTTACACGATATACAGCTTTTCCATTGGACGATTTTACTTTTAAAAGTTGCTTGGTTGAATTTGTCATGTCAGAAAACATATTATTAGACACTAAAATCATGACTATCGGTCAATGTTATCTGTGTTTGTGAATTTCACCGACTGCCAAAAGTGCGTTGACCTTTCAACGTATTTGGCCACAGCTCCCCCATTTAAGGTTGGAAGTATAACAAACTAATATTTCTAGGTTCCTTATGAGTGGACGAGTAATTTGATATGTATATCGACACAGTTTTGAATTTTGACCCCTGTTTGACCTTTGTTGACCCTTCCCCAAAATGCCCGGGATTTTCAACCGGGCATCCCAAGTCAAAATTGTTCAGTATACATCAGGAAACTCAAAAACACTTTCAAACCTTTGTTTCCATGATTTGGTCACGGAACCTACAGGTTGGTCTTCTAGTATCAGACGGCCATGGTGAGCAGGCTGTAAATTTTCTGTACTTCCTGTTTGGCCGCCCAGCACCAGACACCGGGGATGTTAGAGAACAGATGCCCCATGGAGTGAAGTGTTAGAACACTGGACCTTTCCGGACTCGTCTGTCCTCGGTAATTGTGTTCTTTCTCCTACATACATGTACATGGGACGTCGCTGATGAAACGTTAAGTATTAGAGTAAAAGTAAACGTTTTGACATTGCCATGCCTAAGAAATATCGCTCCCGTTGCATGTATATACTGAGCTACAAGACCCGTGAAGATCCGGGGTAGAATAGGTCTTCAGCAACCCATGCTTGTCGTAAGAGGCGACTAACGGGATCGGGTGGTCAGGTTCGCTGACTTGGTTGATGCATGTCATCGTATCCCAATTATGTGGATCGATGCTCATGATGTAAATCGCTGGATTGTCTGGTCCATACTCGATGAGACCGCCTCCGTGGTCTTGTGGTAGAGCGTCCGCCCGGAGAGCGGAAGGTCCAGGGTTCGATCCCGGGCCGCGTCATACAAAAAGACGTTAAAAGATTGTACTTGTTGTTACCCTGTCTGGCGCTCGGCATTAAGGGGCTAAAACAAGGACTGGTCGGCTCGGAGTCAGTATACTGTGTCTGAGTGGGGTTTTCATGTTAAACTGCGGCATGGTATCTCAGTGAGCTAGCACTATAAATCGGCATCAGTCCGGACTAGTACAAGCAGCCACACACACACATACACGTGCATGCACGTCGCTATATAAGTGCAATAATCTTGGACGCGACGTTAAACCCAATTTCACCTCACCTCACCATACTCGATTATTTACTGACCGCCGTCACATAGCTGGAATATTGCTGAGTGCGGCGTTAAACAACAAACAAACAAAAAACTTAGCTACAACTAATTCATCGCAATGTGTT